CAGTCGAGACCTATGCTGAATAGACTGACATCATCATGGATCTGTGGTGGCAAGGAACCTTCGTTGATACCGGTCTTCTCTGCCCTGCTGTGGAGGCTCCTTTCTTCCCTCCTCTCTTTCTCCCACTTTGACCCATCTCAGCAGGAAGCAGCCAGAATGAGTCGATGCCCACTCTCATTTAATAGCAAAGAGGGGGGAATGTTGGGAGTCACCCCAGCTCCAAAGACTAACAACCCCATCCCCCAAGAAGAGCCGTCCAATGGTGAGCCCTGCTGGCTCACATGATCCTTACCCACCAATCAGAAAGCACCCCAGCCAACTGTCAAACTGTTCAACCATTAAACTGTCATAACTGCCAAACTGCCCCCGGCTCTATAAATATGCAGAGCTGTTCCACAATAAACAGGCATTTTCTCCAAAGGCAAGCCTTGATCGTTCTTTCAATGGCCTCTTCAACAAATGGTTCTGGGAAAACTGGAAATCCATATGCAACAAAATGAAATTAAGCTCATATCTCTCACTATACACAAAACTCAACTCAAAGTGGATCAGGGACCTAGAAATTAAACCAGAGACACTGGCTTAATTTCTTAATAGAAGAAAAAATAGGCCCAAATCTTCATCATGTCAGATTAGGCCCTGACTTCCTTAATAAGACTCCTATAGCACAAGAATTAAAACCAAGAATCAATAAATGGGATGGATTCAAACTAAAAAGCTTCTTCTCAGAAAAAGAAACAATCAGTGAGGTGAAGAGAGAGTCTACAGAATGGGAGCAAATTTTTAACCACACACATGTCAGATAGAGCACTAGTCTTCAGGATATATAAAGAACTCAACAATCTTAACAGCCCCCCCCCAAAAAAAACCACCAAATAATCCAGCCAATAAAAGGACCAAGGAACTAAACAGATGTTCTCAGAAGATGATATTCAATCAATCAAGAAATATATGAAAAAAATTCAACATGTCTAGCAATTAGAGAAATTTAATCAAAACTACTCCAAGATTTCATCTCACTCCAGTCAAAATGGCAGGTATTAAGACAAACAACAATAAGTGTTGGTGAGGATGTGGGGGAAAAGGCATACTCAGACACTGATGGTGGGACTGCAAATTGGTGCAACCAATCTAGAAAGCAGTATGGAGATTCCTTGGAAAACTTGGAATGGAATCACCATTTGACCCAGCTATTCACTCCTTGTTTTATACCCAAAGGACTTAAAAACAGCATACTACAGGGACACAGCCAGGCCAATGTTTACAGCAGCACAGTAGCTAAACTGTGGAAACAACCTAGATACCCATGAATAGATGAATGGATAAAGAAACTGTGGTATATATATACACAATGGAATATTACTCAGCGTTAAAAGAGAATAAAATCATGGCATTTGCAGGTAAATGGATGGAGTTGGAGAATATTATGGTAAGTGAAGAAAGCCAATCCCCAAAAAACAAGTACCAAATGTTTTCTCTGATATGTGGATGCTGATCCATAGTGGGGTAGCATGGGAGGAATGGAGGAAACTTAGAACAAAGGGGAGGGAGGGGAAGGGAATGGGCATGAGGTAGAAAAGATGGTGGGACGAGATGGACATCATTACCCTAGGTACATGTGTGAAGGCGTGAATGGTGTGGCTCTACTTTGTGTAAACCAAAGACATGAAAAATTGTGCTCTATGTGTGTGCTACGAATTGAAATGCATTCTGAGGTCATGTATAATGAATTAAGATAAATAAATTAATTTTTAAAATTAGGCTTTCTTATTATTGAATTTTAAGAGCTTTCTTTATATATTCCAGAAATTAGACACTTATCAGGAACATGATTTACAAGTATTTTCTCCCACTTTGTAGGCTGTCTTTTCATTTAGAGTCCTTTTCATAATAGAGTCCTTTGATGACAAAAGTTTCACTCTGATGAAGTTCAATGTATCTTTTTTCTCTCTTGTTACATATTTTTAGTGTTATATTTAAGAAACTGTTGCCTAATCCAAGGTCACAATGATTTTAAAAAACTTATGTTCCTTTATAAGAGTTTTACAATTTTGGTGCTCACAGTTAGGTTTTGGGAGCTCATTTTCGAGCTCACTTTGAGCTCATTTTTGTATAGATGCCTGTGGATACCCACTCACTAATCTGCAGGTGGATGTCCACTTGTCCCACCATGGTGAGTGGTCTTGATGTCCTTACCAAAAATTAGTGGACCATCGGCATGTGGGCTTGTTTCTAGACTCAGCTGTATTCTGTTCATCTGCTTGTCTAGCCTTATGCCAGTACCATGCCATCTTGCTTATTCTATACCTGAAGCAGGAAGTGTATGTCCTGMAACTTTGTTCTTCTTTTGCAAAATTAGTCTGGTTATTCTTACTACCTGTCCTATCCATATTTCAGGATCAACTTGTCCATTTCTGGGGGGAAAAAAAAGTGGTTGGAATTAGGCCAGTTCAGTTTTTGCTTGATAATTTGGGGCTGTTTATTTGGAACCCTTGTTATAGAAAGTCAGAAACTCAGGAAGGGACCTGAGTGTGATTCAAGGTGCTTGAGCCTAGGTACCACTCACCTCCTCACACAATGCCCCCTCCAACTGGCTGATAGATCATCCAGGTAGAAACTTGAAACCCTCAGAGAACAGGTGTGTCCTGACTCAGATGGCATCCTCTCTCCCTCTGGACTGCTGCCCTGGTCTGGCTTGGACAGTAGAATCCTGCACCTGGCCTCTGCTCTCACAGCAGCTGGGGGGCTCCCAGCAGGTTGCTGTCTTCTGCTGAAGTCCAGACCTGGGTTCCTCACCCTCTGGCAAGGCTTTGGTTCTAGCTCCTGCCGCCAGTGCTTGGAGACAGAGGCACCCTGCCTGGAAGAGCCTGAAGAAAGGGACAACAGGACTCCCGTGTCCCTTGATCTCTGCTTCGAGGATCACTGGTCTCCTAGCTACAGACAGCTGGGCACTCAATCGGCAAGGATAAAAGGAAAAGAAAGTTTTGAATCTTACAAAAACTAAATGCTGACACCTTGCAGAAGTCTGTAAATAAGAACTCCATGCTCCTTCTGTTCCTGCTTGCTCTCAGAATTCTGTCTTCCTCACCACCGGGATAGGGCTTCTGAGTCAAAGTGGGATTGGCTCCTGACCCTGTGTGAGCCCCATGACAAGCCCCTGGTTCCAGCTTGTGTTCGGAGGAGCAGTGGGGTCTCTCAGGCCCCCTCCATCTTCCTCTTCCAGAAGAGGAGACCGGCTAGACTAGACAGTCAGCTGCAGCTGCCAAGACTTGTGCAGCCATGTCAAGTGGGCCAGTGTGTGGACTGTAGGACACTTGAGTTAACAGAGATCACAAGTTTAGAAAAGTGTCCCCCAGGAATAAAGGGGGAAATAGGTGTGGCTCCACATCCTCTAACCCCCTGAGGCCAGGGACTTTCAGCCACCTGTCAGGTCCAGCTCCACTAACTTTGCCTCTTAAGGGGACCCAGAGTATGAATGTGAGAACGTCAGTCACTGTCCCAGGCGCATTTGGAACTATCTGGAGGTCATTTCTTCCCCAAGTTCCAGACTTTTTTTTTTTTTTTTTAACACAACATCTTTGTTTGTATGTGGTGCTGAGGATCAAACCCCGGCCACACGCATGCCAGGCGAGCTCGCTACCGCTTGAGCCACATCCCCAGCCCAGACTTTGTTCTTAAAAATGAACTAGGAGCAGCCTTTTTGCTAGTTTGTTTGTTTAAACCCTAGAACAGATCTCTACTGAAGTGTTTCCCTACAGAGGAGCCCAGCTCCCAACTGAGAATTGAGCCCAAGGCTCTAGCGATGCAAGCTCTCCACCACCAAACAGCACCCTCAGCCCCTGTAAAGGATTTTTTTAAAAAAWTTTTAATTGATTTGTTTTTTTAGAAATGAATGACAGCAGAATGCATTACAATTCTTATTATATGTATACAGTACAATTTTTCATATCTCTGGCTATATATAAAGTATGTTGACACTAATTGTGTCTTCACACATGTACTTTGGATAATGATGCCTATCACATTCCACCATCTGTAAAGGATTTTTTTGAGCTAATCTGATGTCCCCCATCCCGTGGGCTCCACATCCAGCTTAGAATTAAGGACTGCCCAGTTCTCTGGTTTCGCTGGGAGAGTCAGGAAGCCCAAAGTAGGGAAGGGACTTTCTTCTTCCTATCTAGCCTTCTGGTTTCTCATCTGAAAATGAGTTTTTCTAGTCTCTCTAGAGCGGAGGCTCCGCACGAAGTCAACTTGAGCTGGTGCTGGTAGGTGAGGCCCCAGTTCTCCCATGCCCCCTAACTCCTGCGCCGCCTCCCGCCCCCTCCCCGCCCACTGCACCACCCCCTCCCGCCCTGTGCTCTGCCCTCCTGAGCCCTGCCCCGCCCACTGTCCCGCCCCCGCCTGCGCCCTGCCCTGCCCGCCCCGCGCCCCGCCCTCCTGCGC